TATGTGTGTTATACATCTTCCTTTAGAAATTGTTGGCATATTATTGATAGAACTGTTTCTCACATGTCCCTATTCTGTTTTTGTGGGGAGTGCTTTTTAAGAATGTAATTAAATACTCAGAATGAATTCTTCTAATTTTTTTAACCATCTTTAAAATAGATTCTTACCAAATCAGAAATTGTGCTGAAACAGCAGATTTCTGAAAAATCTGGCAATTTTTACTCAGGTATAAATGGTAAGATGGATACAGTTAAGTATCTATATTTGTGGCAGTTTACACTTCATTTAGACAGCCCAGTGCCTAAAATGAAAATATTTCCTTACTGTACTTTGGGGGAGGAGTGCATGGGGAATGGGACAGTTGATTGACACAGGCTACTGGAAGTCTTGAAAAAGTGATGCTCTAGGGGACCAGGAAGGTTGTGACCAAATTTCTAATGCACATATTACTTAGAATTTACAACATACAGAGAAAGTAGTTTTGCATAGTAGATTTCTCCTTGCTACAGAATTCTTTGAGAAGTAGACGATACATGATTTTAATGTTGATGGTTTGGAGTTGGAAGAGGTGCACCAGAGTTTCACAAACATTTTGCTCAACAATCTGTTTACACAGTTCAAATTTCACTTAGCCCTTTTAGTAGTTTTCCACAATTCAGTTAAGTGTTTGGAGTTGTTTCTAGTCCTCTATTTCTTGCTTACAATCTACAGATTTATTGTAGTGAAGCCACATCTTGTTTATTACTTAAGTACGTTCAAAAACAATTTCCCACAATAAAGCACTGCTAGTAATAATGGTTAATAGCTATTGAGCCTTCATGATGAACCAGACATTCTCCTAAGTACTTTCCATGCATTATTACCTAATTTAGTTAAATGGCCAGTTGCAATCTGTTAGTAACTACATTTTATGTTACCACCAACTAGACCTTATTCATTTTGGCACATGAGAAATTAGTATATATGCTCTTGGAAAGTATATATTATCCAAACTTACTTACTACCATAGTTCAATTATGAAAGCTTAGATTAAGTTGGTTATTTTAGAGATTTTTTTCATTTGTAATGTTTCCATTTTTCAGTTTGAAATATGAAAAGTAATAAAGACTATGTAATAGAATTAGCACACTAATCATGATAATGCTGACTAGAGGTAGAGTTTAATCCTTTTTAGTTCCTTCTCTCCCTGTCATGTGTTTTTGATTTTGTTTCAATTTTTTTTTTTTTTACATATTTTCTTAGTCTTGTCTAAAAATGTTCAAGCATTTTTGAAACACTTTTAGCTTTGGATTACTAATTTGTCACAATTACTTAAAGTAAGTTCTTTTGCAGAAATAGGTGAATCTTTGATGTGTATCTTTAAGTTTTGTAACCATGTTTACCAGTGACAGTGACCAGTTCTCTGATTTACTGAATTTAAAAGCTATCAGAACTAAACAGAATGACCTTATTAAATAAACTGCAAAAATAATAAGATTTGTTAGGCTAATAGCTTTTTCATAGTGATTTATAAAATAGCTGCCCAAATAAGGCACTTGAATTTTTTGTTTTTGTTGGTGGGAAGGGAGGCTTAGGTGTAATAATTATGCTGTACTCAAAAATTGCCCTAGGTTCATTTTAGAAATGATCTACATATTTAAGGATTAATGGTAGATGGATTTTGAAACTAGTTTAAGCGTAGAAATTACATTCTTAGAAATAATTTGAGATTAACAAAAGGATATTGAATAAAGGAACTTCAGCTGTTAGGAAAGTTTTGGGGCTCCATGTTTGATAATCAGGAGAAACAATAATAGAAATCCAACTTTAATTTCAGTTTTATGTAACCTTGTCTTCACTCACCTTCATATATATATATTTTTTTTAAAGATACCATTGTAGAGATAGATTTTTTTTTTCTCTAAGAGATGGGTTTTGCTGTGTTGCCCAGGCTGGACTCAAATTCCCGGCTCAAGAGATCCACCCACCTCAGCATCCAGAGTAGCTGAGACTACAGGTGCATGCCACCATGCCAGGCTAATCAGGTTGGATATTGAAGGGGCATCTCTGCAAGAAGAGGTGGAGGAAGGAATATGGGAAGAGAATAAGAGTTTTTCAGAGAATGCCTAGGTTAAAAATAGATTTTTTTAAAAAAATTGTTTTTACTTTAAGACATTTCATCATCCTCAGAGTTAACTATTTTTGTTTTTATTAACATAAAATTAATTGAAACTTTATAAGTGTATAAGTCCATTATTCTTTTTGTAAATTCATTATTCATTCTGCAGATAGTTTTGAGTAGTTCATCCTTATATGCTAAGCACTGTGCTGTGAGCAGAGAACACATGAGTTAGCAAACAGACATGGTCTTGATTCCTAGAGATTATAGTCTAGATGGGAAGACATGAACTATCTATTTGAACTGTGATAGTGCAGTGATGAAAAGTACAGGATGCTATAGAGCAGTAGTCCCCAACCTTTTTGGCACCAGGGAATGGTTTCATGGAAGACAGTTTTACCATTGGATTGGGGGTGGGGTGGGGTGAGACATGGTTTCGGGATAATTCAGTGCATTACATTTATTGTGCACTTTATTATTATTACATTGTAATATATAATGAAGTAATTATACAACTCACCATAATGTAGAATCAGTGGGAGCCCTGAGCTTGCTTTCCTGCAATTTAGATGGTCCCATTTGGGGGTGATGGGAGACAGTGACTAATCTGACAGGAGTTGGAGCTCAGGCAGTGATGCTAGCAATGGGGAGTGGCTATAAATATAGATGAAGCTTTGCTTTCTCTCCTGCCTGCTGCTCACCTCCTGCTGTGTAGCCCAGTTCCTAACAGGCCACAGACGGGTACTGGTCCATGGCCCAGGGGTTGGGGACACAGCTATAGAGCATCTAATGGGAGATTCTGCTCTAACTAGTGATGGTGGTTATAGGGGGTGATGAGGGTGTTCCAGGAAGGTCTATTTTAGGAAGTGGTCTTTGAGCTGAGCTCAGAATGAATAAATGAAGGAGAAGGAATGTTTCAGATAAATGGAAGTACATAGAGACAGGACCCTGAGCTGAACAATTGGTATTTTTCAAGCTGTGGAGTCATGACCCATTACATGTATGAAACCAATTTGGTGAATTGCAACCAGCATTTTAAAAAATGAATTGGAATAGAATAAAAAAAATTTACATATATCACATGGATCCTTAGCTAGAATGTGTTTTATGAAACATGAATGCATTCTCAAAGACATACCACATACAAACATAACATACTAACCGTGTAAACTGGCTCATGATGTAAAATTATTTCCTGCTGTGGGTTATGATAAACAAATACTGTTGGAAGAGTGAGAAGGAGGTATGTGTGGCAGGAGTGTAGAGAAGCCAGGAGTTGTGTCTCTAGATGATATCGCACAGGTAGGTAGGAACCAGATCACACATTGAGCCTTATAGTGCATGATGGCTTCTCATTAATCCTTTAGAAGAGTTTTGAGCAAAGAAATGACATCATGAGATTTATGTTTGAAAAATTCACTCATGACTTCTGGAGTGGGACAAGAATGGATGTGGATAGGTTAGGAAATTAGTACAGTAGCTCAGATAAGAAATGATGGTAATTCACCAGTGTGGAGTCAGTAGAGATATTAATAGAAGTAGATAGATTAGAGAACTATAGATCAGGAAGAAAAAAAATCTATGGAATTGGGTAAAGGTTTAGGAAAGAGTAACTGATGCAATAATACATCTTACATTTGACTAGAGATGAATATTACATAAAACTTTCTATTGTAAATTTCACAGAAGTCCTTAGTCATTTACCATTTTGAAAGTATTCAAATATTCAAGACAAAATATTTGAAAAATGTTTTAATTATAATGCTTGAGCTAGTTTAATTACTCTAGTCATTCCTTTTTTAATTTCATGAGATACAAACAAGGTTAGGACTTTTAATTCTGGAAAGGTAAAATGAGGATGAAGAAGAGATTTTCTTAAGATTTTGTGGAATTATGTGCCAGAATTAGATGTTTAAACATATGAAATCTTTTAATTTTGTGATCCCTTTTAATCTTTCCACAAACCTGTAGGTAAATTGTACAGGTCACATATCTAGAAAATATTAGAGCCAGGATTCAAATCTAAATATTTCTCATACCAAAAGATTGCCTTTTTACTATATTATCCTGAACTCATAAAAAATACTACTCAGATAATCACACATTTTTTCAACCAGTTGGGTATACCAGATTAGTATACACCCTTAGGACTTGTTTTCAACAAAGAAATATTCTTGATGGGACTTGATAACTCAGGATGGGGGTGTGTGTGCATGAATGTGTGTATATGATTATTAGGAAAAACTAACTGTAATTGAACTTCTTTTACATGCTGGGTACTTCTATACTATGCTTTTATTTAATACTTATAATAATCTGATGTGGGTCTTGTCAGAATGTTATTCCCATTTTAGAAATGAGCATACCAAAGTGAAGAGATGATTGGCCCATACAGTAAGTAAGTGATAGAGGAAGATTTTGAAACAGATATTTCATCTTTCAAAGGACATATTTCATCTTTGTTTTTGAAGGTGATATCATGGAGGGAGAATATGACTGTCCACTAAGCGATGTTTCAGTTGAAAAAAATTTTATACCCTAGGAATTAAGAAGAACTTACTAAGAGCATGGATTTTGGCTTTGAGGAAGATCTAGGTTTAAGTTTGAGTTCATTGTTTATCAGTTGAGAACTTAGAAAAACTTTTAACCTCATTTGTGAAATGAAAAGAACAGTTTGCATATCAGAGTTGTTGGGATTACTGGCACTTAATAAATTGAAGCTGCCATTATTTAAAATAGAGTATTTTATTTACTTATTTAAACAATTAAAAAAATAGAATACCAAAGTGGGTTGTGGGCTGTTTGTGAAAACCTAGTATAATATTTTCCTGGCTGATATAGTATTTTTGTCTCTCTCTGTTTTTGTTTTTGTTTTTTTTGTATTGTTTCTTGTTCCCTTAAGGATTTCCGTTTTTCTGACTGTGAAATGAAAGGATGATTGCTCACAAACAGAAAAAGACAAAGAAAAAGCGTGTTTGGGCATCAGGCCAACTCTCTACTGATGTTACAGCTTCTGAAATGGGGCTCAAGTCCATAAGTTCCAACTCCATTTTTGATCCGGATTACATCAAGGAGTTGGTGAATGATATCAGGAAGTTCTCCCATATGTTACTATATTTGAAAGAAGCTATTCTTTCAGGTTTGTCACTGCTTTCTTTTGGCATTCTTACTGGATAGTTTGTAAAATTTTAAATGCCAGCCTAGCTACAGATAAGTGTGTACACAGTGGTAGGAACAGGGTATTCTGCTTTAGTTATTTTATGGCTTTTTTCCTTCAAATGTTTGATGTTTATAGTGTAAACTATTTTATAATCAGATAATATTATAATACGTAATAGAAACTTTGGTAAGTGTGTGGGAACAAGAGTACAAAAAAGGAAAATAAGTCTTTGGTTGCTAGTGGCCGGGTCCATTTGACATAGGAAAATTTGAAATCGTTGGAATTCTAATCTTTTTTTTTGTTAACAGTAACACAGTACATTGATTAGTCTTTAATAACCAGACTAATGTTTATAATTTACATTGTTAACACTTTTGCCTAAATTCATCTTTCCATATTGTTGCTAAAACTTAATCTAAAATGACTGCATTTGAGTACATTTTTTTCTCAAAAATCAAACTTAAATCTGTTTTGCTGATCCATAACATCTTCTCGAATTAAGGGATAATCACAGAATTTATTCTCTGTCTAGTCAGAAATGGATATTGGTGACTTGTTTATCCTAAAGGACTATATCCCTGACTTGATCATAGTAACTAAGTCTTTCAACTTTTAATGCCTCTTTTATATCCAAATTTGATAGCAATGATGATAATTGTTAAAGATGCAGCCCCTATTTTGTGATAAGTAGCAGTTCATTTCCATATTCATAGTAGTATGTCTGGATAGTGGGATGAAGATTCCAAGTATTATTTATATGAGACCTCCTGGGACTTCATATAAATTTATAAACTTTCAATAAATAATTGTACTTATATAAGTTAAATATTTATTTTCTGATGTGCATTTTGAAAAATAAACTAAAACCAAATTTTGTGCTTGTATGAAATTTAAGAGTTTATTTCTAACTTGTTATTTTCAGGTTGAAATGTCCAAAATAACTAGACTGGAATTGAAGCCTCAAAATTTTAGTGTTTGAATTTACCTTAAAACAGCAATCACTTAAGTCATTCTTTTGATACTATATAAATAGTATTAGAAAAGAAGTTGCTTATACTCCCATTCATTTTAATAGCTTGATTTTGATGTCTAATTATGGATGATTAAATGGCAATAAAGTTATCTTGTCATTATGAAAAGATATCCTAAATATATTAAGTATTATACTGGTAACAGATTTCTTACCAAAATGACACATCTACCATTTATTTAAATAAGCAGGCTGGGCACAGTGGCTCAAGCCTTTGGGAGTCCAAGGCAGGAGGATCACTTGAGGCCAGGAGTTCGAGACCAACCTGGGCAGCATAGCAAGACCCTGTCTATACAAAAAATAAAACAAATTATTGGGTGTCATGGTGCGTGCCTACAGTCTTAGCCACTCAGGAGGCTGAGGCAGGAAGATTTGCTTGAGCCCAGGAGTTTGAGGTTATAGTGAGCTATGATCACCCCCACTCCACTTCAGCCTAGGCAACAGAACAAGACCCTGTCTCTGGGAAAAAAAAAAAAATCAGAAGCATAGCTTTGTAATAAAGATTTGTTTTTAACTAGATTAATTTTTTAAAATTTAAATTTATATACAGTAAAATTTAATCTTTTTGATAGTTCATTAACTGGGTTAATTTTTAAGGTGAAATTTAAAATGATTATTTGACAAATCATTTACCTTAATTTAGGATAAAACCTGATTGTATTTAATGTATCAAATATAAATAAGATTTTTTACTTAGAATTTCTATTTTGTTTTTTTAGGAGATTTATATCTTTTAAAATTCTCATCTTACATCATTATCCCCTTTTTCACAGATTTAAAATGGTAGTGATTTAAAACAAGTTAGACTACTTCTTATCTCCAAGAAGTTTTTTATAGGGGTTTTAATTTGTAAGTAGACAGTTCAGAGAACAGGAAGGAAGAGGACCAAAAGCCGGTCCTAAGTTAGAAAAGAGCAAAATGGTAATAAATATAAGATACAGAAGGAGAATACCCCTTGAAATAAGAGGATATATATGGAAATATGTTTATTCACTGAAATTTAATTTTAAAAATTTATGAGGACATTATCTTTTTAACAAGAAATCCAGTACTTCAAAACTTAATAAATTGTATCATTAGTAATCAAAAAGCTTGCAATTTATGCCTGATAAATTAATAAAATGTATAAAATATTTTTTAAATAATCAATTCATTAGCATGTAGTGGCTAGAAGAGTTTTATTATTTACCTTTAGGTTGATTTTACACTTAATGTTAGCCAAAAGGCCAAGAAGCAACTACTTTGGATTGATTTTAATGCTTGGTTCTTCAATCTGAGTTAAAAGGACATGTTGTATTGAATTTTGGATTTAATAAGAATTTGTTTTCTGTTTTTGGAACATTGTTATCAAAATCTGGAAATATACTATTTAGTTAGTATGAGTTAATAGAACCTTTTTGTTTTCTTTAAACAAAGAAGGATATATAAACATATAAATGAATCCCATTAAAAAAGATTAGGGCAACACTGTATAATAATGTTTTCAATTTTGATCATGATTTCTAGCTTCTTAAGAATATCAGACTATTCCTTTCTTACTTAATAGAATTATTAGGAGGATCAAATGAAATATCTTCAAGAAAACAGATAAAATGTTTAAAATTCTGTAACTATGTAAGGTAGTATTAATATTATGCATATTCTTATAGACATGGGCCATGATTTTGTCTTCTGAGTATTGAGAAATATCCTTGGACTTCTACTTCTGTAGTTATCACCACAGTTATAAACTTGCCAAACAGCAAAGAGCTGTTTCACTGTTTTCTTTTGGAGTGAGGGAGCCTCCTCAGTATTTTCTGTGGCCTTGCCAATATTTTGTCTATTACCTCCTTAAGAGGAAGGATGCTAAGTTTTTAGCACTGTTAATTACTTTTTAATTGACATCTGTTAGTTGTTAAATGGCTAAAAAGTTAGCTTTTAAGGGTAAAGAATGTAGATATATAATTAAGTCACCTTTTGGTCTAATCAGAATACCATTTTCTCTGTAAATTTTATCTACCTATAATGAAGCAGTGATGAGCAGAGTCACTTGACTATTGCTGCAGTTGTTTAATCATTTGGTTGAGGCTAGTCTTAGATAAATAGTTTTGTGATGGGTTTGTGGCCACACTGTCCTTTCCCCACATAGATATAGAAATTATTATGTCATTACATTGGTCCCTTTCATTTTACAGAGTATTTACACATACAAACAAGTTTAATCTCAGTCTCCTCAAAGGTGGGTACTTTTAGCCCCATTTCACAGATGAGATGTATGTATTATGTGTTTTCACTCTTATTGCTGATAAATAATGGCCTCATTTGGAACCCAGAAGTCTTGAGTTCACACCCAGAATGGTGTCTTCTTTCCATGTTATACCAGCTACTTCACATGTCAGGTACTCTGTAAAAACACTGCTCAGTTTTCATTATTTCATTAGCTATTGTAGTCTGTGGCAGTTATCCAGACTTGCACTGTCCAATATGGTAGCCACTAGACATGTATGGCTATTTCAACTTAATTGTAATTCATAATTCAGCTCCTCAGTTGTAGTAGCCACATTTCAGGTACTCAGTAGCCACATGTGAATAGTGGCTATCCAACAGTACCATATTGGACAGTAAAGATACAGAAAATTTCCATCATTGCAGAAGTTTCTGTTGTACCGGGCTGGTATAGACATTTGGCCCTTATCAATACTGAGAAAATTGAGATGAGTTCTTGAGCTATAAATGTTTTTTACTTCTGTAGCATTTAAAGGAAACCTAGAAAAAGTTATTTAACCAACTGTAAGAAAATTTTACACAGAAATAGAGGTCCATTTGAAATCTCCTTCCTTAAGATGCCTTTGGAGTATATAACTTTCATGACCTCCTTTGATTTGAACCAGCAGATAATTTTCCAGCCAGGTTATATGCTGTTTGGTTAAATAGATAGTGAAGGATGGCAGAAAGAGCTCTGGAAAGAGAATCCCAGGATCTAGGTTCTAGGCCTCCTGACTAGTTTTGGAATATGGCGTAAGCCATTTAATCTTTTGTTAAGAATGAGGCACTTGTGCCAGATGCTGTCAGTTTTACGATACTGTGATTCAAAATTTGAATGAAGTTAGAGATTGTACAGTGTTCTAAATATTTACAGTTTAGAGCTGAAGAAGACAGCTAAGTATTTGTTTTAAAATTATGTAATGCATTTTAGAGGATATCTCCCTCTCCTCTCTCTCCCAATTCGAGTCTCTAGGAGTTTTTGGTGAGTGTTATAGTAATTGTCTTAAATGTGGTGTTTGTGAAAATTTCCCAAGTGAGAATATGAAGCTTGTATTGTAATAGTTGTTGGAGAACTGATAAGAAAAAATAAATGTTTGCCAAAGAGGTCTGTGCCTCTGCTGGACATGTATGCAGCTTGTCTCTAATTTTCATTTACAAATAAAAATGGAGAGTTTAATGTGGAAGATCAAAGGACTATGAAAATATTGCATTCTTTCTGAGACAGGATAATTGATAGAGTTTGATGATTCTCTTTCCACTACTTATCTCCAGAAGGAGGTTAACTTGTAGTCTTATACAAGTAGCAGATGTGGAATTTGAAGTTTTTGATCTCTATCCAGTCTCATTAAGGTATATTATGAATAATTACAGGGGTACATTTTGCATCTTATATTAAAATGCTGAAGGCACTCACAAACGCATATGTACTTTGTGTTTAATTATAACACCATAGATTAATATATGTGCAGTGTAAGTACCAATTCAGGTTTATGGTTTTCTCCCTGAGGAATAATGTGTTCTGAATTCTAAATAACAAATTCACAAATGTTCTTCAAGTTTATACAATAATTTTAAAGTCTGTCTTTGTGACATACTTTCCCATTTCTGGGTGGAATGTTGTTCAAGGAAGCTCAAAATCTGGGAATTAGGAAAATGCAAAGATTTTTACTGGGCTAGAAAGAGTAGTGCAAAATATCTAATTTTT